AAGCAGCACAGAGCATTTGTGGCTCCTCTGTCTGACCCGAATGGACCTATAAAGTATGTGGCATGGTCATTTTAATACTGTGGTATCTGTTCCATTATCCTTGTCAGAGCAAGTCAGTTTTTTGTTATTTGTTTGCTGTTGTTTGCTTTCATAATGAGTGACCTAGACTCAGCGAGTCGCCAGATGAGTAAGACTCGTGATTGGTCGAACGCCTGAAGGAAACATAAACAAGGAAAGAAAAGCGAAATGCTCACTCATAATATTTTGATAGGGCTTCTGGACAATGCACTGATTTGTCAACCGTGTCCCGGGGACATCTGAGTGTGTGTTGTGTAGTTTTGAGGTCTTTATATGAGCTAAAGATATGAGCTGAAGTGTACGATAAAGATACACTTTATTAGCTAGCACAAGATAATATTTGATATGCTTATCCACAATTTACTTTATAATTGCCGAAAGAAATTCAGTTATATTAATGTACAACTTTTTTTTCCTTTTATTGTTTTATAATCTTGTAAAGAAAGCATTTCCCTTATTATTAATAATAATAATAATATTATAATTTTCGATTTAAATCTAGGGTTACAGCTTTCATTTTTGCCCTACTGGTTATTTTAATAAATATTTTATTTTCTTGCATTTCTCCTCTTATCATGAGCTTACCAAGTACCATTTATACCTCAAAACTAAAATCCTATCATCATTTACTCACCATCATGTCATTTTAAACCTGACTTTCTTCAATTTAACACGAAAGATGTTTTGTTTTGTTTTGTTTTTTGGTTAATTTTATGCTGTCAGGATTCAAAAATCATGGAAGCCCAGAATAAATAAATAAAAAAGCTAACTGCAAATTTTTATCTCACAATTCTGCCCTTTTTGTTCTTTTCAGAATGCTGAATTTTGAGGTGTTAACTTACAATTCTCAGAAGAAAAGTCAGAACTGTGAGATATAAAATGTGAGGGGAAAAAGTCTGAATTGTGAGATAAAAATGACCGTTTTTTTATTTTGTGGCAGAAAACAAAAAAACTCAATGTGAGATGTCAACTCAGAATTCAGAGAAAAAAAAGTCAGAATTCAAAGAAAAAAGTCAGAATTGTGATATGTAAAGTCGCAATCACCTTTTTTAAAATGTTTTTATTCTGTGGCAAAAATAGATTTCCATTTTAAAAAAAATTGACAAGGAAAGGGAATTTTTTAAGAGAAATAAAAGCACACCACTAAATATTCCCCCTAAAATCATTATTTCTTCCATCACTGCTTCTGTTTTATTCTGTTTTTTGAGGACACGAAGCTTTCATTTTAATTGTTCAAATACTAGTGTCAAGATCCATTAGTTTTGGCACGGTGGTACACCCAGACCCTGTGCTGTACTAACCAGACAATATTTATTCAAAACCAGCAAATTCACATTAGTAATCATCTGCGCTGGATTCCCAAGGGGAAAGTCTCTGTGAAAAACAGGAAAATTGTGGAAGAGTTCAAAGAGGACCCTTTTTAATCGATCCAACAGCTGGGTTCCCACGAGCACGGAGCATATATGTAAAACAGCTTCATTCCAACAAAACTATTTATGATTAATGTCTCCATCTTTCTCTGGTTCCTCTGATCTCAGCTTTGTTTTGACGATAGAGTTTGCTCTTATCATAAGATTGCACACCTCTATGAAGAACAGGCAGTGTGCTTTAGTCTGCGGCCAAGTTTATACAGAATACAAACATGGATCCGCACTTGATGTTCATTCAACTTTGGGCGCTTTTCCCAGAGGTTGTTTTCTTTTCATTTATTATTGATTTTGTCCTTTTTTTTTAACTGATTGTTCGTAGCCATCATGGATCTGATATAATCCACCTCAGCTTTTGAGTGAAAAAAGCACTATACAAAAACTTACTTGACTTCAATCTAAACAAAGAATGAAATAAACAACTACTTCAATATTTATCATGTGAAATTGGTCATTTCCACCATATCAAAAAATTTTAGCTTATATTTTTATGGCTCATTATTTCCATTCACGCTGTAATGTTGTCAACTTTTGCAAAAAATTATGCAAAATGCTATTAAACATTGGTGGTGGGGGGGGGGGATTTTTTTCTATGACGCACGCATATGATCACTTTTGTTAATACTTAAATAAATAAACTCTGAAAAGTGTTTATTTTCTAAAATTCCACATGAATGAAAGTGTGCGTAGTTTAAGAAGCACCTTCAAATGATTATCATGTGAATTTCCAGTAAAGATGACAAACAGCATGCTCAAAACATTTAGGAAATAGCTAAAGAAACCAAGTAATTGTCACCATTCCAAAAAAAAAAAAAATCCTTCTGCTATCTTTAAAAAAAATGTTTTATATGAATATGACACAAATATAAAAATACTGCCTCGCTGTTAATGTTTTCTGTGTGTCTGGATCAATCAAAGGATCAATCTGTGCTGCCAACAATAATGCAGATGCAAGAATGGACTTTTCAGTCTCTATAAAACATCTCATCCCACACCATTCATACTTCAAACAAACTGTAAATAATACCTCAAATCATGTGGCTTAAGAAAAAATAAAAGTAAATTATTAAATATTTATTAGATTATTAAATAAATTATATAGGCCTAGTCTTTTGTTAAAAATTTTATAATTTTCATTATTAAAAAATTATATAATTTATACAGTTATTATGTTATATAATAGTTACTATATATATATAAGTATATAATAATATATTCCTTATTATCTTTATTCAAAATTCTAATTTATTCAAAATTTATTTTTTTAATTAAAAAAAAATATATAGTTAATATAGTATTATATTATTATATTATAAGAACATATATATGGTCTTTATTAATTACATTTATTAATTTGGCACTAATGGTTGAGCAGTTCAATGTTACGTTCATCTGAACATCTGCTATTTCATATGTGATCACTATATAGTTCATATAGTATTATATTATTATATTATAAGAACATATATATGGTCTTTATTAATTACATTTATTAATTTGGCACTAATGGTTGAGCAGTTCACTGTTACGTTCATCTGAACATCTGCTATTTCATATGTGATCAAATCCCAGATCCATTCAGGAAAACCCAAAAAGGCTGGAGAGATGACGGGATGGAATGATGGAGCGATGAAGGGAGGGAGAGCGAGGTTCACAGGATTAAGTCGAGGTGGATTAAACACTTTTCGGTTCATTTCATGACCTCCCAAATGCTCTGCAGTAATACTGCTGCCAAACCCCGCTAGCACTCATTCAGGACGGCACTCGCTGCTTTTAATGATGCTCTTTACGGCATGTTTCAGACGTGGATATTAAAGCTTGAGCGTTAGCATTAGCATCTAGCTAAATATGTCGCCCTCATTATTTTTGGGTTTGTACCATAGACTGTATAAAAACAGGTTTGTACACTTAAAAAGGGCACGTTTCATATCGTTCGACAGCGAAACAGCTCTCCCGCCTCCTTCTCCGTTGCGCAAAGGATTGTGGGTAATAATAGCCCAAATAGCATGCTGCTACCTTTCAATCAAGAAGAAGTACATCGTCCAGGCACTTTTGGGATGTACTAATGCTAATATTATGACTCAGGGCTTAGCAAAACTGAATAAATGTAGACATGTGAATGGGTGACTTCTGCTAAAGCACTTGGACAAACACCCTTTTTACCTGTAACAAGAGAAAAACATCATGCTCATGGCTTTAAACCCCCTCAGTTTGAATGGACATGATGCTTCTGTATACAGTGACTTTCATCTCCTCTCATAACCTTTTTCTTTGTCACTCTCGATCCTCTTTTCCCCTGCAGGAAAACACGAGGGGTGTTACATTTGGTCTGTCTGGTTTAGTAAGTGTCTCTCTCTCACGGCTGAGCTCTTGGCATTCCTGCCCAAAACATCAATGTCATTAGTTCAAATCTTTCCTTTTTTTTCACCGTGGGCTGTACAATCCTCTCTATCTGTCATAGCCCCTCTGTCCCAGTTAACTTATTCCACTAGCATAAATGTAAGTAATCGGCTGCTGTGCAGCTGTCTCTGCTGGGTTGCATCTATAGAATAAAGAAGCCACATTTAAACATTATTGGAGCCCCTTTTTATCTATAATTGAACATAGTGGCATAAACAATGCAGTGGAGATGAATTTCAAACCTTACTATTCTGTAATTTTTTTTAATTTTCTGTAACTTGTAAAAAAAAATATAAACATTTTAAAAAGATGAAAAATAAAATATATTCTTATTTATTATTATTAAGAAAAAATGTAAGAATAGATAGATGTTATGTGTAATGTGTGTTATTTTTATTTTTATAATAATAATATTAAATTGTTTATTTTATCTCTCTACAGTACGGAATATGATATCAATGAGGAAAAAAATATTTGTGATTTTTTTCCTACTTAAAATTGGACACTATAACAATATCAATAAAAATTTTCATTATTTTTTTATTTATTTATTTTTTAAAAGTTTGTTGCCTCAAGGCAACACTGTACCACAATGGACACATTTAAACATTTGACATTTTCATGCAGAAAAAATAAATATATTTATTGAAAACATCAATTTCTTTAACCAAACACTTTTATTTATCTAGATTTTAATGTATTGCACTCATATTTCTCATATTTATTATATCTCATATTTATTAAAAAAAATTACATTTCAAATCCAGCTGTTGCTCTCAGGCAACATTGTACCATTGTGGATCACAAGTATAACTAAACTATCTGTTGTCATACCAAAACATTATTTTCAATTTTTTGTTGTTTTAGATATAAACCCAAATAAATACACTTGTGTCACCATCGCTGTATCATCGTCTGCAACAATAGTCTTTTGTAAGTGGGTCTGACTTTCCATTGAACCCTCTGTTTTTACATGTAACTTCATTACCAAACATCTGATTCATCCTGTGACTCATTAGAATCGGATGATTAAAGTTAACATTCACTGTTTTTGGAGAGTATGTTTACAGAACGGCTGGATGAGACTCGGTGAGACAGAGGGGGAGAGAGGTGCTGTTTTAAAGCTTTCTTATAAACAGAAACTAATGGGTTGTCTGTGTTTTTGTGCAGTTAACTGTGGCCCACTCACGCCGTTCCAGGAGCTCCGCCGTTTGTTCTCCCAACCGCAGTGGAGTTTAAATGTTAAACGCTGTTGGCCTCTGCTGGTCGGGAAGTGAACGGCACATAGTGCATCAATACCAGCGTGACCCCTGGTGGCACTGTCTATATCTATACAACCGCTCATATGACGATTGAAAATGAGCAAAACTTATGTTACAGCATCAGCCAGCATAATGAAATGCTGAAAGTGGTGCTTCAGAAAGTCCAGGATAGATAGATAGATAGATGGATGGATGGATGGAAAGGATTGGATGCGAATGAATTGACCATCCTGTAATCCAGTGAATCCCGGCGGAGGATTAGAGTTTCATCTGTGTCTCACTCATTCTCTCTCATCTCCCGCTGTGTTTACTGAGATGAAGTGTCTTGAGTGTGTCATAATCCCAGCAAACAGCACAAATCACTCGTGAGTGAAGAATGACCACCTCACACACTGCACTGCATCCTGATGTCAGAATATCATCTTCAGCTGTGAGTAACCTACATCTATCTATCTATCTATCTATCTATCTATATGTCTGTCTATCTGTCTGTCTGTCTGTCTGTCTGTCTGTCTCTCTGTCCATCTATTTATTTATTTATGTATGTATCTATCTATCTATCTATCCATCTGTCTATCTGTCTGTCTGTCTGTCTGTCCATCTATTTATTTATGTATCTATCATCTTTCGGTCAGTCTGTCTGTCTATTCTTATTACTTCTGTATTATTTATTTTTAACCTTTTTACATGGAAAGGCAACTCTAGAACGATACAAAAACCAGCAAATGGATGAACAATTCCTTTGATTTAAGACTCTTTTTAGGTCAGAGCTGTAGTTTATATCAGAGGTCCTGGATGAAACTCAACCCTCCTTCCGCAGATACCTGCACAGTTACATGATCTGAGGGGTTCAGGTGAACAGCGGCGGCCCACCTGCTCTCACCGGCCAGTATTCACCTACAAGGAAAGGGGAGGACGAATTAGGTCAATCCGATCAAGACCGGATCTATAACATAAGGTATGTATATATAGTAAGGTAAATGTTTTAAACATCTATACATGTAACATTAATCCACGTTATTTCTATATGTCCAACGTTTGTGTTCAGCAGAACTGAAGTAATGCAGGACAAAGTGAGGCTTTGGAGAGCTTTAGCTCTAATCTTACTTTCTGTACTCCTCCTTCCCTTTTCTGATGTGAAGATGGATGGAGAGCTCAACAGGGGTTTTTCAGTTTTATCCTTCTAGTAATATCCCAAACATAAAGAGAAATAAGCTGGTTTTAACCTTTGCTTTTTGTTTCATTAAATCTGTCATCTGCGTGTAGATGGACGGGATGTATAGACTGGCATTAAAACCGGTGTAAGGAGAAACTGTGCTCATAGCTGAGATGGATGGGATTTTGTTCCAATCCCGAGATTACGAGTCTGATTTTATGTATGTATGAAAGACCAAAGGAGAATATCCCATAATGCACCATGCTATGAGATCATTTACACTGGTATGTCAGTAAAACTTCACAACTGGGATAAAAATCAAATGTTTCAAAAGAAGAACATGAGGCTAGTGTGGTTTAAAAGTGCGTACTAACCTTATCTGTGCATATTTTCGTCTAGTCTATCCATAGTGTAACCTTTAAAGGGGTCATATGATGCGATTTCAATTTTTCCTTTCTCTTTGGAGTGTTACAAGCTCTTGGTGCATAAAGAAGATCCATGTAAAACTGAACCCTATAAAAAATAAACAAGTTTGTCTGCTTAAAAAAAGTTGTCTGTCTGCTAATCAATTTCATTTATTTACATTATATTGCTTGTCAAATGTATTTATTTTCTTATTTATATTTACATAATTTAGGTCCGTATTATATGTGTCACCTGTATTACAATTCATAATTGTCCTCTTGAAGTGATGTGGTTTGCACCTCCTCGTTGTGTCTGTGCCCTCCGCTGCAGGCGTGAAATATTAATCACTTTGCTCTTTCTCTTTTCTCTTCTCTGCCAACAGCTGCCTCTGTATGTGCAAACACACAGAGTGTGGTATACAGGCACATCACACACGGCTGCTGCTCTGATGACAGACACCAAACTCAGGTAAGGCTCCATTTACACTTACTTTTGACTAAGTTGACCTTAAGTTTTCGGAGCTGAAGTAAACCATAGAACACAGCGCTGGCGGGGGTTTTATGATAAGATCTGTGCTCTGACAGAGGACGTGAGGTACGACAGGTATCACAATACGATACATGATTGAAAACGAACCCGATGTGCTAAAGTGCGGATCTTTTTGTAGACGTTCTGTATTGTTAAAAGACGATTCATGTTTATTTATATGTATGCTTTATAAATTGCATATTGTTTTGCAATTATTATTGAGAGTAGTTTTAGTTGTACTTTAAATCATTTGAATATTTGCACTATTAAAATTCATTTGTTACACCACATGACCATTTAAAATGAATTAGTGATGGTTAGAAGGTGCTTAAAATGGTGAAGAAAGGAGTGAACTTTTGATTCTACAATCCTATAAATTTTAACTCAAAAATACATTTTGATCAAATAAACATGTATAAACAAGTTCAAAGCTCATTTAGTAAAGTTCCTGCATGAACAAAACCACACTTGACCTGTAATTGTATAACAGGCTTTTGAACATTCGTTTGCTCACCTGTACGCAAACATCAAGTGCAGCTAAACATTTAGCTGTCCTGTCTGTGCTGTTTGTTTACACAGTTTAAACTGGAAAAGAGTATGTAAAAGCTCCATAAACCCATGCTGAATCCACAATTCAATTAGTTAATGATCTAACAGAAGCAGGTAATGGAGAAATTTAGCATAGAGACACAATAGATTGTTTTGCATTATACAATGACATAAATGCTATATCCCAGGGCATCAAAATAACAATTCAGATTCAGATTATTTTATAATAAGGAACAATTCTTGTATTTGTTTTTATTTTGTAACATATTCACTTAAAAGTATTTATGTAATTTGGTTGGTACAAATTGAAAGAATAATAAGTTTACATAGTTTAATAATACAGAAAATAATAATATAGATTAGATCATATAGATTATTACTATTATTATATGTTAGTATCATTTTATATCATATATGTAATGTGTGTGTGTGTGTGTGTGTGTATATATATATATATATATATATGTATACACATATACTGTAAATGTTATATTTAATTATATAGAAATGAATGATTGTAATAAAATACTAACCCTAATATATGTCATATACTCAAAAAATTCACAACCATGCTCACGGTGTTTGCAACTATTTAAAATACTTTATTTCAAACTTTTCATTTAATAAGAAAATGCTGGAAATAAAAAAAAAACTAATATATATATAATTGTTAGTTTTTGTACTAGTATTATTATTATTATTATATAATATACAGTATTTACTACTATTATTATTATTATTAGAATATATATTCATTATATAATTACAGAACTTTTTAGTTACTGTATATAACGTTATGCCAAAAATGTTATACGTACTGTTAAATTTATTATATAAATGATTATTATTTGTATTATATTTCATTTATATATTACAATTTATATTATACATTATGATAGTATCATATATTATATATTATCTCATATATATATATATATCATTATTATGAAAAAAAACTATATTGTATACTTTATATCGTTATATTTTATTACATAGAAATTAATTTTATAATAATAAATAATAAAATACAATTCCTATTATATATCATTTACTCAAAAACAGTGCTGTAATGTAAAAAAAAACAGTGCAATAAAGCAGTGTGTAAAATAATTACAAGTCTTTTCATCATATTTAATATGTAAGTAAAAGCTCTAAATAATCTATAATCATGCATACTGTACTGGGATATCTGAATAGCTTATAGGTTTTATAGGTTTAAGTTTGTTGTTTCCCTGCAGAACCTCCAGGATGCATCTGTTGTTCGTGCTTCCCTTGGTGCTCGAGGTCCAGTCCATCTCCAAGAGCCACAACTTCACCTACGACTGCACCTGCCACCTGGAGCTCAAAATCGCCAACTGCACCAGCAGCAATTTCACCCACCTGCCCGCCGCCCTTCCACCCTTCACCGAACAACTGGACCTGTCCCTCAACCACCTGAGTGCCATCCGGCCCCAAGCCTTCCACAGCACACGAAGACTTCGCGTCCTGCTCCTGAACGACAACATGATTGCCATGCTAGCCAACGGAGTGTTCTCTCTTCTAGAAGGACTGTTGAGGTTGGACCTGAGCCGAAACCGAATCTCATTCCTGAGTGAAGGATTTTCACGGGGTCTTGGTTCCCTTCGAGATCTGTCACTGGCTGAGAACCGATTGAGCAGCTTGGACAGCAGTTGTTTCGTCCACTTTGACGCCCTCCAAAGACTCAACCTCAGCCATAATGCTATAGAGACCATCAAGATGAGAGCGTTTGGGTCCATGAGTACCCTACGCCAGCTACAACTCAACTCGAACAATTTAACGGTTCTCAAAAATGGCATCTTCTCCATGTTACGAAACCTCGAAGTCTTGAATTTACATCTCAACCAGATACACTACTTGGACGTCGGCGTGCTTTCGCCATTGACCAGTCTCGCTCTACTGGACCTCACCAACAACAACCTCTCCACGATTCAGTTCAAGACCTTCCTAAGTCTCAACACGTACAGCACTCACATAATGCTCCAAGGAAACCCATGGGATTGTGACTGCGATCTGCAGCGAGTCTTCCGGAAGCTCTGTAACGTCAAGCGGCTGTTCCTGGATGACTACGACAACCTCACCTGCGTGAATTTGGACGAAAGTCACAGAAACTACACGATGAAAGAGGAGTTCTGCGTTGCAGAGATGGTTACTGTCCTGGTCATCACCATGACGGTGGTCATCACTGTTGTGGCTGCCATCGTCATGGCAGAGAAGAAAAGGAAAAAAAAGAACAAAGGAAAGCATTGGACGGAAGTCGGCGAGTTGTCATGTGCATCGCAAGCCTGAACCAATGGCGTTAATGCAAAAAGGAATATTAATCTTGCATTATACTTGTATGTATATGCTTTAGGTTGTCAAATTCAGGGTTTCTGAAGGTAAATTTAAGACTTTTTAAGACCAAGTAAAGAATGGAACACAATTCGTCAATATGGTCTCTAAATGTAAATGTCTTGTATTAGCTACACTTCAAAGTTTGTAAATACAATTTCCAACAGACCTTCATTGCTTTTTATTTCAATGTTATTTCATATTTCAATAGTTCTGCTCCCAACCAATAGAATATGGAAATAACTTTTACTGTACCTTCTGATCACACTGCAAAAAAGTAATGCTCTTCGTCAATAATTTTGTCTTAAATCAATACTTGAGATACAAAATTACCTAAAATTGTTACTATTATGAGAAGTTGATCAAAATGAAGTGAGCTGACATTAGCAGACATTTGTCCTTGTTTTAATGTCATCTTAATACATAGGGAAAACAAGTTTCCAAACCCCATTGACTGAAGTTTGTTTTTGTTTTAAGCATAAACTCACTTAATTTTGTTCAATTTCTCAGAAAACAAGACTTTATGTGTTCAATTTGCATCTCAAGTAAATTGATGTTTTAATTGATGAACATTTAATGCCATGACTTTATGAATTTAGGACTTAACTTGCGGAAGGGCAAATTGAGGCTAAAAAAACACAAAAACTCTGTCAAATTCTTAATAATTGGTAAAAAAATAAAAAAATTTAAATGTAAATCTCATGGTGGGGTCAAACGCAAATGGAAGGTCTAAAATGTTTATTACAAGTATGACTTAAATACAGAAAACGTAATGAAAAATATACTGTAATAAAGAAATGTATATATATATATATATATCATGTATATTTATTTACATATATATATATATATATATATATATATATATACACACATGCATATATGGTATATCAGTCTGGCGAGTAAATTTGAAACATTTTGCTTTATTATGCATTATCTCTTTTGTTTTTAGATTCACTGGCCAGCTGGACAGGAACACATTGAACGCTGCAAATATGCAGGAAAGAATCTATCGGTAAGTAACTTTAAAAGGGCATAAAGGGAAAAAAAATAAATATATATATATATATATATATATATAATTCTTATTTTCTTTATTCAACTGTATTATTTAATCACATGAACTGACAGGCGGCAGGAGCATTAATTCTGAAAATAAAATATCTCTATTTAGCCTACACACACACATCACACATCACACCACACAGTATATACTCACTTGTAAAGAACATAAACATTCTGCGAAGAGAAATAGCTCCAAGATGAATGAACAAGAAATGAATGCTGAAATGTTTAGTGTTCACCATGTATGTTGAAATGAATATTAAAGCCCTCTATGTTTACACAAGATGGCGATAAATAGCTATCTGTGTGTGTTTGTGTAAGAAGAGAAACAGTGGAGTGGTACATTGACCAAATACAGAAACAACACACTGTTATGATTGCAAATAAATAATTATAATTTTAAATGTCATAATTATTATAAAACAATAATCTTCCATTTAATAAAAAATATATATTTATGTTATAATGTCCAAATGGCATCAAACATACATTATAAAATGATGGAAAGCAAGAGCATATATATTTAAGTTAACAACTCTAAAGCAAACAAATCATTTATGAAGACAGTATATTTTTCACACACCTTTTGAATGGAAATGTCTATATAGAAAGTGCATTTACAAATAGAAAGAGAGGAAGAATAAAAGTAAGAGCTCCTCTTCTCTTTCAGTTTTGCTTCCACTCATTTAAAAAAAGGGCAAAAAGACCTCATCTAGGGTTAATCCAGGTTATCTGGGACATTTTTCCTGTCACCTCAATGGAAAAAAAAGTATCTAATTTACCTATACACACTGCATTTCTGATGAGATCTCTAAGGGACAGACTCACATGTAGAGAGGGGGCTCATTGACAGACACATGGCGTATACACCTATATAAATATGCACTTTCTTATGCACTACTTTTCGAATGCACTTTGTATTTTAAATCCACTGAACTTTATTCTTCTGATGAGTAATATTCTTCATCAGCAGCAGATCTCGGGTCTTAACCAGTCTCAGATGGCCCAGCAGCAGCCTCACTGTCTTCAAATGCCTGCCATACGACTGCGTGCAAGTCGATCATCACAGGCTTCACTAAATGGATTTCAGTGGTGTGGCTCTGGATCATGTAGTTTTCGGGCTCATCTGGTTCTTCGAGAAGAAGACTTCTTATAGGCCACTTCTTCGGCATATTGAAGTACAAGACTCGATATTCACGTGGAGGTACTTTTGGGGGTAACATGTCCCACCACTCCTGCTTCTTTCTGAATAAGCCTTTAAAGTTCTTCCATTTAAATATGCTCTTTTCCCCACGCAGTGTGACTCGGGTCTTATTTTTGTCCTTAAACTCTTCCCTCCAGTCAGGTTGATAGCCTGGCATTATGATAAACTCTCTTCGAAGGAAGTTCTCGTGTCTTTTGAACCTCCCATACCATTGGTCAAACTTCTCACGCTTTTCTTTTAGCAGTTTTTCCCACATTTTGCCTTTTGTTGCATTCACTCTAGCACAAAAAAAATCACGATAGAGGAACTCCAGAACTCGCCACGATGGACTCGGGGTTTGCGCGGCTTTATATATGCCAGTTCTAAAAATTACGTGGGCTCATTATGACGTCACAGGGACGCACCGACGTAACCTGAATCTATGTGCGCATGCGCGGTGCGTTTGGCGCCTTTAACAAAGAACATACTTATAAGGTCTTCTATACTCTTTGCTTTTAATGAGAAACAGGGAAAAAAAATGAACAAGAATGATCTAATACTGTCTCGTGTGCAGTGAAAAACACAATGTAAATTTAAAATGAGAACGAGAAGGCGCGTTTTACAGTTCGAGAGTGCGACTACGAGGTAAGATGTAACGTTAGTATGTAACTTTTGACATAACTTCTTTGACTCGAGTGTGTTTTGAGGTTGTGGTTAGGACAGTCATTCACTGCTTAATTTTTAAATGTTAGATCGATTAAGAAACATAGATGAGTGGGAAAATAAAAAACAGGACGTGCTTGGTGTTAAAAAGAGTTATTAAAAGCTATAAATTCATGAAAACGCCCGAAGCGCGTGCACAGAGAGCCGTGACGTCAGGGTGACGAGTTTCTTTCACAGCTTAAAGGGGTCATATGATGCGATTTAAATTTTTCCTTTCTCTAATGGTCAAAAAACACAAAATTATATAAAAAATAAATAAATAAAGCCCTTTGTTGGCGAGTATTCATGTCAGTTGTGTCTTAAACTAATATAAACAGTTGGTAAATAGTGTATCTTGAGAAGTATGCAGTGCACTCGTATTACAAAATGGGCATTTTCGAAGATTGAATTTATCTCATTTTTCATCTTGAAAATAAATATGGTTATTTTGGATTTGAATCCAGTTTTGTGCGCATCTACATAACTAGAACAGTTATGGATAATGGCCTGCACTCTTGTCCTCCCATGTGCAGGTACCCCAGTACGTCTGATCTGGTGATGGCACTGGTTCGGGTCTCAGAGAAGACTGAGAACATAATCATCATCGCACGCGCCTGTCAGCAGGAGGGGATGCTCTTCATCCAGCTGATCCAAAAGAAACGGGAGGTGGCGATGAAACAGTGTGGTCATGGCTGACTTCAAAACCCTGGCAGATGTGCTGGTGCAGGAAGTCATCAAACACGACATTGGAAAACAGGTGATAGCCCGGCATTATAATTAAAGGTGCACTAGGTGATTGTCTTCTGAAAATTTTTTTGTTATGCTGGTTAAAAGTCTCTCAACATCCCGATAGCAATCATTAAGTTAAGTGGTCTAAATTTATTTGTCTGTATTTATATATTCTGTGTAAGGCGTAGGATCAAGAAATGTTCGTCCAATCAAAACGCTCGGTCCAAGCGTTTTAATATGCTTTCCTACCTGCCTGTCAACGTATGTATTATCATACCTCTGCGCACCCTGTTCGCACAGACAGGATACGTCAGCAGCGCGTTCACTTAAAGTTTTCTCACCGGTGAATGACACATGATGTAGCCCAGCGGTTAATCTAGTCCTCGCGCCAGCTCGTTAGAAGTGAGCTACATGCATGAACTGTTTTCCGATATGATCCCTACACAGTGTTCATTGCTCCCTACTCCCTGAGCGGGGGAAATCCGTTGAAGTTTACTTCACTTCGGAACATGGGCTGGAATTGGGAACCTGATGTAGCCTATTGTAGTAATGTTGTCTCTGGTCTGTGAGCGTAAATGCGTTCAGGGGGCGTGGCTTTGGACGGCGATTGCAGGGAGGGTGGGACGTTCGCTTTCAGTGCTATCAGGCTAAAGTTAGCATTTTCCAAGATCTCCTACTGCACCTTTAACTCTCTTTGAAGGAAGTTCTCGTGTCTTTTGAACCTCCCAGAATAGCTCAAAACTCGCAATTGTGAGAAAAAGTCAAAATTACGCCTTCAGAATCCCAATTTTGACTATTTCTCACAATTGTGAGTTTATGTCCTGCAATTGACCCTTCGCAAAGGCCCGCCCCCCTTAGTTACTGTTGCTACGTCTGACAAGCCATGCCGCTCTCACGCCACACACCATGTTCTCACACAGTGAAAAATACATTGCGGAGCAAAGAGGAAACTGACAACGTGCCAACAGACAAGACAGAGCAGGTTACTTTTTGTATTAAAGAAAGCCTTGTGCTCTCAGCTTTCCCATTTTTTTTTTTAACAAATTCAAACAATAAATACCGTTTTGTGGCTCTTTAATGTGTCGTGACAGATCGCTGTAGTGCCTCAGTTCAAGCGGCACATGAACCGATCATCTTTTCCTCTTTACTATTTACAGCACGAAATAAACATGAACAAACATCAGAAGGTATCTTGTTTCAACTGCGGAAAGACATCAATACACACCATTTTTCAAGTTTTCTACTCTCCTGTCTGGTTTGTTTGTCGGACAAAATGGCAAATTCCACGTAATGATTGGTCAGATCGCCTGTCCATCAAACTACCAGCGAAGGGTCAATTCTGAGAAAAAAGTC